GCTTGCCTGGAATGATGTCCAAGATGGTTTCTGGACTCAAGTCTGGCGGCTTGGAGCTCCTTGGCCCCTCTGTTCTCCACGTGGTGTCTCATCCCCCAAGGCCTCTCAGGATAGTCACACTTCTTACAGGAAGGCTGGGTTTTAAGAGGCAGAAGGTGGAACCAGCAGGCGGGCTAAGGGCCATGCTTGGTCCTAGTGCCATGTCACTTGCACCATGTTTCACTGGTCAAAGTGGACACAGATTCAAGGGATGAGAAACAGACGCCACCTCTTGGTGGAGGAGTGCAAAGTCACAATGCTGATGTGCATGGAGATCAGATCTTTTGCTGTGGCCATCTTGGGGACAGAGTGTGCATGTGAAGGTCAGCCAAGAAGCAGAACCTCTGGGAGGGGACCAATAGGCCTTCAACAGGCTCTTGATCCAACTCATGGCCGTCAATTCAATCACAGGGACTGAACTTCTAGGGACATTTCTTGGGGGCAGGACAGTGTCTCACTCCTCCTTGGATCTTCCTCAGCCCTGCACAAAGCCAGGCACACAGTAGGTGTTCCACAAATATCTGCTGAATGGACCTGCACAGCACGAGTGGAAGAATGGCCCTGTCTCCTCTGGGGAGCCCTTCTGGGTGTTGCAGAAACGCCTGTTCTTCCCTCACATGAAGAGAGACCAAGCTGACCATCAGGCTGTGACCTCCACTGGACCCAGCATCTAGAACACCACCTGGTATGCAGTAGGTACTCAATAAATGTTTGCTGAATGAATAAATGATTTCATGGACTCAACCAATGATTTAATACGCCTCTTCACAAGTGGCCTCTTGGCCTCCTCTCTAAGTTTTTAGAAGGTTTTCATGCTACACGAGCTGAAGAGAAGGTTCTAGAATGCCTCAGACCACAGCAAGTCACGATGCCTTACGTTTCTGACCAGGAGGGCATGCCCAAAATCCACACGAATCAGGCCGGCAAAGTGTCACCACCTCATTTTCCAGATGGCACAGTGGAGGGTGACTGCCCTGACTAGCATCGCACGTGTCTATTGACTGAATGATTGACTGAGTCATTCACTCATCTAACACACATCCAACCAGGCTGAGAGCTGTGAAATTGGCGGGCACCTGAACCACCGACAGGGAGATGGAGAGGGAGGGCAGAGGGAGAACATGCCCACTCCCATGCAACCATACACACCCACCACATTGAGAGCAAATGACATGCTGGCCACTTGACACACAGAATCTCATTGATCCTCATGTCACTTACAGAGGAGGAAGCAGTGGCATGGAGACATGAAGCGGCTTGCCAAGGTCACAGGAGCTCACCAGTACTGGGGTGGGAATCAGACCCTGGCTGTCTGACCCCCACACTCTCCTGCCTCCCCTGGGCCACTGCCGTCTTCCCAAACTGCCATGTTTCAATCGGGCCAAGGTAGATGTCTCCATTCGGGGACAACTCCAAAGCGTTTCCTGTCGTTCAGGCCACATCCAATTCATTCGGCGGGAGAAGGAAGGAGAGAAAAAAAAAAAATCTCACAGAGGCTCTGGTGGCTTCCTGGGGGCCAGTGCACACATGCCTTAGAAAAGTTTCACCTCCGATTTAGCATAACAAAACTTTTAATTTAGATGTTTTCATCTCTCTCTCCAAGTAAAAATAAGTTTAAAATAATGACTGTAATAAATGAAGGTAATTAATTGTAGTTTGTTCCTTTACTGTCTAGTCAGCTTAATTTTACCTTTTCAACTAATAATGAGAAAATAATTTTTGTGCTCGGAGGGTTAATGATTTGTAACAGCGAGAACTGCTAATTGCATGTTGCAATCCATCCATCAACAACCCCATCTGTGCGACTTGATTATGTTTGCTAAATTATTGCTTTGAATTATCTTTCATAAAGCAACTTTTGTAATTAGCGGGGCTTTCGTCTTGCTCTTTTCTCTGTGTGCAAGGATATTCAAACTTTGGCCATTTCAAGCTGTCTCCATTAAGCCACCTTCTCTGGCTGTCTTTGTTTCCTTGAGCAGGGGAAATCAAAACTGTCCTTTATGTAATCAAGGCGGAGAGGAAAAGCTTCCCTGATTCACAGCAGGGCAAACTCACTTCCTCTCCGCTCCCCTCCCACCAACACACACACAGACACACACACAGACACACAGACACACAGACACACACAGACACACACACACACACACACACACAGAGAGAGAAAGAAAAAGACCCACACATACAATATGAAAAGACAGAAAGGATACCCAGGTTCTTTATACACCAGGGCGGGTGGAAGGAAATTAAGAAATTAACTTGAACATGTTATATTTCAGCAAGAGCTCCGCACTGAGGAAGAGAGAACGCTGGATGTATGTAGTATTTGGTCCTGGCATTTTACAAGCTGGTTTATGTGACTTCAGTTGGTGTTTGCCACAGGGAATATTTCCGTGCGGTGATTAACGCCCACTTGGGAATCCTCAGCTCGAGCCAGGAGCCTGCCGGGTTTTGCAAGGGAAACAGCATAAAGGATGGGCACTCATTAAAAAAATTAAAATGAAAATCAAATTTGGATTATAAACGGCCTGTGCCTGTGCAGTTTGTCCTGGACGAAGAAGATACTGTTTATTAACACCTGTCTTTGGCACCGTTTCTCCCCTGAGGCTCAGGGAGGAACATGGCAGCTGCAATGGCTTAGTCAATAGATCATGAGCAAAGCAGGGGTTTCAGGAATAAAAATTCAGACAAATGTAGTGTTTTTGGTACATTAAAGGGACAATGGAACATCCTCTTAAGAAAGTTAACAAAGTTCTTTGAAGATCCCATGCTATTAAAATGGTGTCTATTCAATGTGCCACATGGGTCTTTGGAAACAAGAATTCAGCTTTTTCTTCCTCTTCAGGACCACTAAGACTTTCTCTCCTCCAACATTTGTTCAGCACCAGCTGTGTGCCAGACACAGTATCGACTGCCTCCATGCTAGTTAGTTCTTGGAATCCTTACCATTAGCCATATTTTACAGAGGAGGAAAGTGGAAGCTCAGAGAGGTTAAGTAACTTCCCCTGGGCTACAAAGCTAGTTTAAGCAGCAGGGCTGAGATTCAAACCAGGTCTGTTTGAGTCCGATTCGCATGTGTTTTCCACTACGCTACACTCAGGTCTTTTGATCGTCGTCTAACCTTATATTTAACTATTTTACTGAAAAGGTGACATAAGCCATTCTGTCCTACAGGGACATAAAGCCTCCTTCTTCTGGATAAAAAGTCTCGAACAGCTGGTTAGGAAAGAGGCAGATTCCAACCCAGGCATAAGACCAAATAAACTGTATCCAAGATCACTGATAGTAGGCATAATAAAATATCCATGACTTCTAACGTGCAAGGCAATACTGGAAGCACTTCATTTGCATTAACTTTGTTCTTCATCAATCATAACCCTATGAAGTAGGTATAATTATTATTCCATTTTACAGCTGAGGAAACGGAGGCACAGAGAGGTTAACTAACTTGCTAAAGGTCACACAGCTGGTCTCTAGCAGAGCCGAGATTTAAACCGAGGTTGACCCAGAGTCTGTGTACTCCACTCTCTAGCAGCTCTCCATGAGCCAGACATTAAATTAGGCCCTTTCTCTGCATTATATCTCAGTTAATCCTGAACACAAAAAGATTTATAGTGTCTTTATGCCCATTTAACAGATCAGGAAACTGAGGTTCCAAGAAGCTAAGAGAGGCTCTGCCCACACCAACCCAAGAAAGGGAACAGCCAAGAAAGTGAAACACTCTATGAAACAGCTCACTGATTGTCTTTGGGCTGAGCCAAGGGATCAGCCTCCTGAGAGGGGCTATGTACTGACTGTCCTTCATGGAATCAGGGGTTGGCAGATGGGAACTTCTTTTTTAAAAACACAAAGCCTTGAAAACACATCCCCAACATTATTGGTATTCTTTGTTTTTTTCTCCCTCCCCAACCCAGGTACCTCGCAACTGAATGAATCAATACTGGATAGTCCTATAAATAAATAAGCACACCAGTCAACTCCATAATAAAATGAAGGGATGAAAAATATGGAAATCGGCTACATTTGTGTAAATCCAGTTATTGCTTACTTTAATACTGCCTTATGCGCTATGTGGTTCCAAAGAGACAGATTTAAAGTAATGTGGCACTTGGCGGATGACAGACTTAAAACGCATTCCCACTGGTGAGCCATGGAAGGGCCAGTCCTCCTAGGGCCCTTGTCTGAGTCCAGGAGTAGACAGAGAAGTGTCTCCCCCACCCCCGAGGACAGATCATTTTAAAAAGGCCCTCCCTTTTACTACCCTGACCTGCCCTAGCCTGCCTTCTGCGCCAACTGGACAAGTGGATATTCTCAAAACCCTGGTCACAAAGTCAAGCAAAGAGGAGAGATAGGGGAGGTTCAAAACCTCATCTCAGGGCTCCAGGAAGGCAAGTGAAACAATTTACTGAGGACAGCTCAGCTGCTGCCAAGGAACTAGGGCCTGATGGGTTGGCAGTAAAGAATGTAAATGATGCTGATTTTATACTTAGAAGGATAGGCTGGTAGAAAAGAACTTCAGGGCGGGCTAGTAACTGTTTGTACTTATCTGCAAGGCTGCCTTACAGAATCACAGCAGAGCAGAATGCCAAAGGACAACAAAGATCTCCCAGTAGAAATCTCTGATTTTAAACATGAGAAACCAAGTCTGGAAGGTGAGGTGGTTTGCTTAAGGTCACAGAACTTACAAGTAGCAGAGCCAGTGTAAGGCTGGGCAAAGTCTAGGGGGAGGGAGATTTCTTGAGACACTGGAATTCCATCAACAGAAAAGATAATACTTTTTTTTTTTTTTTTTTACAGATTAGCAATATTGACTAATCTGGAGGAAATGGGGCAGAGTTTGCAACGGGGGCAAGGAAGATTCTAGCAAGCTTCCAGAAGCTGCTGGCTCCCTCTGGCAGCTCTGGTAGGATGGGAGAGGGAGCTGGGGAACACTTCTGGGACATGTTGTGGGCCTTGGGTCTTACCTCAGCTTGGAAGCTTTTTAATACAGGAGCCACCATCTCTCTGATTTCCTGAAAAAGAGATCAGTGAAGAGTTCACAAGTGCCAGGTAGGAGACCCCCACGGCCCCTGCTTGCTCTGTTCTCTGCATTAGCATTTCCCAAGCACGTCCTGAGGGACCTGTGCTCAATGGAATTTCCTAAGGGTTCCTCACACACGCACAGACACAGACAAAAGGGTTCCTAGCCAAACGAGACTGAGAAATATCGAGTCCAAGAGGGTTCTTTTCTGAAGGACTTTTTCAGAGTCTTTAATAGGCTAATGTACATTGGGAGTTTCTGGAAGAGGGAGAGAGGAAGTGGTGTTTCCCAAAGGGATTTGATTGCGAATGCTCTTTTATGCAAAGTATCTTGTGGAACTGGTGGTCCATCATGGAACACTCTGGAAAAAAAGCTATCCTGGCTGTTTAGCTTGAAGTTGCCACCGGTGGCTAGAGAGGTAGCCCCATTCTCCATGCTCACCGCTAAGTCAAGAATACCTTCCCATCCTTCAGGCCCTGCTCAGGAGGAGCTGCCTTCTGCTGGTTGTCACCTCTGATACCCCCCAGCTGCCACCTCTCCAGCAAAGACTGCATTCTGTGTTTCAGCAACCGTCACTTCTGTACTTGTCTCACCCGAATATGCAGTGTCTGGGGACTTGGCGTGGGTTACCCCCGTGGAAGGGCTTAGAGGAAGGGCTCCCTGAACATTTGATGAATGCTATTGAAGTGGGCTGGCTTCAGAATGGAAGCCCTGAGCCTCCTATTTCCAGATCCTAATTTCCTGCCTTTCACAAATGACCTTGAGGTTCCGAGCCCCAAGGGCTCCCCTTGTTGACTTCCAGCCATTCTTTTCTCCAGCATGCAAGAGGGGAAGCCTTTTAGGGCCAAGTGGTCCTGAGAGCCAAGCACTGAACTCTCCAGTTTCCTCTGAGATCCACTTTTGACTCACCCAACCACTGTTGGTCACAGTGGCCCCAAGAAATCCCTGTGGGAGGAGGAGTAGAGGGGCTAGAGAGGGTGAGATGGGAGGGGGCAATGGAGAGAAACAGGAGAGGAAGGGATGGGCAGTAGAACACACCCGTTCAGCTAAGGAAGTAAATCTCTAACAATGAAAATAGGCTGTGTTGCTTCTGCCTCAGGAGAAGACCCCTCTTCCGGGTCCTGAGTGCCCCTCCTCACTGACCTCTGTCCCGCAGGGCTTCTCAGAGCTATGGATACACTGATGTGTGATGGAGATCTTCCGGAAGGGTGTGGGGAGGGTGCACGTCCCTAGTAAATTTAATCACAAGGAACCATGGGTGCGCAGAAACTTATGAGAATCTAGGTCAGAGGTTGTGAACCCAAATGTCCACCGAGGCAGGGCAGGAAGTGGACATGGGGGAGGCGGGCTAGGAGGTCCCATAGCAAATCTCGGGAGGACACCAGCGCTGTCTAAAGGGGGCAGCAGCTACTCAGCTCTAGCTGATTACTGCCACTCGGGCATGGAGCCTTCATGTTGCAAGACCCACCCATCTATTAAAAGACACCAGAAATCTGAATTTTTTGGTGAAATCTGAGACGTTAAATGTTGGGCAACTTAATGTAAAGTTTGCAAGACTTTACAGACTAAATAAAACTTGTCAGTAAGAAATCTCAAGATAGGTTCAGAAAACGTGAATGCTGGAATGGGCCTTGCAAACCATCTAGTTCAGACCCCTGAATTTACAGAAAGGGAGGTTGAGGCCCACAGAGGGGGTGGCTTGCCTGAGGTCACAGAGCAAGAGAGTGGGACAGGTAGCATTTGAAATCAGGTGACCAGATTCTGCTGACAGGGTCTTCTTACAACCCCACACTCAAGGGAATGTAGGGGATTCAAACCCGAGGTTCACAGGGTGGCTGCAGGGACTTGGGGTCAATGCTGATCTTCCTAGATGCCCAGTGCCCTGTCTGCTTAACCCCTGGAGAAGCTGAGCAAAGTCACGAGCAGGAGGTGAGTGGGGCACCAGCCAGATGATGTTCTTAAGTAAAGCTGTGACTCTCCCCATCAAGAGTCTAGTTCCAAAAACGAAAATTTTCAGAGGCACAACTATAACAGGAATGGAAACTTATTCCTAATTACATAATTGCATAATTATGTGGTATTAAAATTATGTAAGCTGAACTCAGAGGCTGAAAAGCTGGCCTGAATTTCCCCCATCACCTGGGGGCTCCCATGTGGCCTGGGGGGAAAGTCCGCTGCACTGAGGGAAGGAGGAAGTGATAGGGGGATCTGTCCTGACCAGATGTGGGGGGGGGCATGTGGGCCCATCATGATCTAAGGGTCATGTCATCTGTGCTTTCCAGAGGCTGCAGAGTCAGAGGCAGAGCTGCTGGTACCCATGCTTTTGAGGGAAGTCCACTTAAAGACCAAGCTGTGATCTTTTCCGAGGGGAAAGGAGAGATGCTCAGCCTAATGTCCGCCCTCTTGGCTCTAAAGTCAAACCAAAGACTTGACTGATTTTTCTGAAGCTGTGACGTGGGACACACTCTCAGATCTGATCCAACCCTCTTCTCCAAGCGTGCCCTCCTAAGCCCTGAAACCTGGTTCTTTCTAGACTTGCTCTGCGGAGGACAAGTTTTAGCTAGATCCCACCCCTCTCCTGCCTTGAAGAACTAACGGTATTTATGACTTGGCATAAGAAGATTTCACAGCTAAGAGACTCAATGCCTCCTGTGCTCTTGTGCCTGGAATCCTGGCTAGGTCTGCCTCTTCTCCATCTTTCCATGGCCCCCTCCTCTACCAGCAAGACAGCAACAGGAGCTGGGTGGTTCTGGCAGACAGAGTGTAACTTGTGGAATGAATTTACCTGTTCTGACACTGACCTCCCGAATGCCAGACTCCAGGGCACCTGAGCAGGTAAGGACAGAGAGCTCAAACGTTAACCCTCTGCTGACCCTAGGGAAACACAGCCGGCTTTGGGGTAGAGTGGGCTCGGAGACCGTGATCACGGATGTTTTCCATAAAGGCCATATCCCTGCTGAAGTTATATGGAGTCCGAGGGCTTTATTTTTCCTTTTTGTGTTTACTACCACTACTTTTTAAATCTGAGAAGCTACAGGGGGCCTAATGGAGGAGGGAATGGAATTCACACATTCACCCTGTAAAGAACAGATACATGTCCCTTCTAGTTTCTTTCCCTGGGGGGGTCCCTTACATTGTGGGGAGCTGGAGACTCTGTGGACCACCCCCATGGCAGCAGGGAAAGACAAAGCTGGTGGCTAGAGTTGCAAGGGAAAGAAAAAACAGGGGCTGAGGCACACATAAGGGAGTGGGGGGCAGGAGGCAAGAGTTTCAGAGATGGTGGGTAAGTGAGGGAAGGCTGGAAGAGAGGGGAGAAAGTCTATAGCCACCATCTCACAGACGCCAACGGAAAAGCAAAATAAAATCAAGAACTCTGGACAAATCGCTTCTTCCGTCAAGGCCAAGCATTTGATTTAGAGATGAATGTAGGGGAAATGGATGCTTTATAGAACCCTCAAAAACAACTGCTTTAATGGTGAAGTGTCCCGCTCTGACTTCATACAGCACTGCTGAGCACTGCTACCCCAAGAATCACCGAAGGTTGGGGGCTGTGATTCTTCTTTGTACCTAATTAGCTTCTTTTCTTGTAAGTCACTTATGTCTACAGTTTTCAAAATATAGTTTGAACAGGGAAAAATCTGCATTCCTACTGAGTTAATTCTGTAACAGCAAATATACTGTACCTCAGGTACATTTTTCTTAAATTCCCGGCGGAGTTCAATTAAATGTTTATGAGAATGTTCACTCTCCTCCTGCCGTGCAGACAGCTCAGAAGCGACGGAATTAAGCTCCTTCTGGAAAAATAAAAAAAAAAAAAAAAAAAAAAAGAGAGAGAGAGAGAAAAGAAAAAGATTTTTTTCCCTCCTTTTCCTTTTTAATTATTGTACAAAACAGCATTCTGAACAAGGTTTCTTAACTTACAAAGCTGAGCAAAGACAGGATATTGACTCCTGGCACAAATGAATAATTTACGAAACTAGGGATGCAACTGAAAAAATCCAGGACAGCTTTTTTGCTCGTTGGAAGTCGGGCCAGATCAATAATCTCCCATAAAGTTGGGTAGAGTTGCTTTTTTTTCATTTCTTCCCTAACTCCCTGCCCCACCTCTTAAATTTCCAAAAGGAGTAATGGCATAAGCTTGTCAGTAACTGTAGAAAACATCTCCAAACCATGTCAAAATAGTAAAGTGCGGCATATTGTATGGGCATATTATAGTGTAAGAAAGTGCTGCCGACAGCTTTCATATATCAGAGGTGGGAACCGTTCCAACTATGAGTTACTTACACTTAAGGGTTCATAAATACGCCTTTTAAGATATAGATGGCTTTTTAATTTCAGTAGATTTTGGGAAAATGAAGGTGCCAATAAGAAGCAGGCTGACCTTTTGTGTATCCTGCAGTAAATCATTTAAGGTTCACTTCAAGTATAAGAAATGTTTCTTTGAAGACTCCTGGATTCAGAAGAAATGGATTGGAAGGCGCCTTGCCTGCCTGTGTGCAATGAAGGCGTCAGACCAGGTTTTTACAGGATGTACCAGCGAGGGGGAAAAGAGAGCGAGGGATGGAAGGGGGATGCTGCAACTCACACACGTCACAGACAACGTCTGCTGGTTGTACATGTATATTTGATCACCCTTCTCGTGGCTTTCTTCATTTTAACTGAGGCACTTTTACAAGGAGGGCACAATTCACACTAGTTGTCATGGATTTTATCTGCATAATTCAAGATATGCTCTGTTTATGTGGTCTGCTGCTTTCTAGCACTATCCCGAGATGGGCTTTTTTTCTGGACCATAACTCGAGGAACATTTCTGTATATATTACCCGACTATATTTGTGGCAATCAAGCTCCATAATTTCCTAAATCCGGTGATGCAATAAATTTTTGCAATCAGATTTATTAAAAACACACATGCAGATGCGGGAGTGCATTTCTAGGGTGAACTCTTTAATCTAACATATGTATGATGAGGCCCAGCACCGTGTCGAAAGACCCCATTTGTCACTGCTAATACACATTCATCTCGCACACACAATGAAACACTTTTACCATTAGATAATGAAATAAAAGTACTATTAACCCGCTGTAAATGCTTTTCCCTCTAAGAGGCAAAATGCTTGGTAATTGTCTTATATCATGTCTGAGAGTCGGTAAATCTGCTCAGTAGCAGTTCACCATAGCACCATAAACCTCATACCAACTGACAGCTGCAGTGTCTACCCTAAACCTGGGACAAGTGCCTCTAGCCTATGGAGGCTTTTGGAGAAATCACGGAGGGATTGGAGACTAGTGAGATCAGAGGGAAGAAGGTGGAGGCGTAAACATAACTATTAAAATAGAGAAGGGGCAAAGGAAGCTGACTGTGCTGCTCTCCAAGGTGCTGAAATAAATTCTATGCTGAGCGCAGGGTACACAGATCTGTTAAACTAGTTGCTGATGAGTCGGTTCTGACTTATGGTGACTGCACGTGTTACACAGCAGAATTGAGCTCCATAGGGTTTTCTTGGTGGTAATCTTAACGGAAGTAGATCGCCAGTCCTTTCCTCCGAGGCATCTTTGGGTGGGTTCGAACTGCTAACCTTCCGGTTAGTAGCCAAGAGCAAATCGTTTGCACTACCCATGGTACATGGACTTGGAGGCAAACTCCCCAGTCCAAACTCTCCATGGAATTTTGAGCTACGTGAGATACAAGTGCCGTGAGAGAGGAGAAGAGAGAAAGCGTTTCTGACAGGTCGCCAAGTTGACAGAAGAAAAAAGTGAAACTTCTGCTTTATCATCATTTAAAAAATCATCACAGTTTTCAATAAAGAAACCACAATCGACCACAACTAAATACTGAGTGACTGGGGAGGAGGGAGAGATCTGTGTTTGCAGCATTAGATGTGATCAAAGGTAGAGAAGAACCAGTCAGTTGAGGCAGCCAGGTGGACAGAACCTCACATGGCAGGAAAGAAGGAACTAGAGTGCCGTGGTCAACTGAGTTATAGCAGAGTGCTCCCGGTGTTTCTCATCTATCTTGATGACAAGGATGTGATTTTTACATTTCTGCAGGACAGACAGGACTTGGACTTGGGTTGACATCATTCATGTTTGGATCACCATGTATCTGACATTATATTCTTGTCTCTGGGACACTGTACCTCTCCACACACCAGCAACCAATATGCCTAGTGGAGGCTGGACTCTGACTCCTCATTTAAAACATCAGATTCAGGCTTGGAGAGGAAAGCTCAGACGGGCATCATTCCAACTGCCTGGCGTGCTGTCCCAGCGATCAGACAATTACACCTTGCGACTGGCCAGGCTCCTGGCACTCGAACCTCCCAGGCTGCTGGGGGGTGCAAATCTGAAAGGCAGATGTTTGCTGCACCCACAATGCAGATGGAGCAGAGGCAAGGCAAGGAAGGCCTTGACCCCACCACAAGCCCAGCTCTTGGTGTCCAGCACGTCTTTCCTGCTCAGCCCACAGGAACAGGTGACGTCACTGGTGTTCATGTTTTTCTCATCTCAGCTTTGCCTAAATCTGTGCTTATGCTTCAAGCTTGAATTCTCATCAAATTTACCATACTTTTATGCAAATAACGCACGCATTATACGTTTTTTGCCAATCATGCAACCCCCTGTGCTATTTTCGTAAGTGCTCTATGCCATGCATTATATGTGTGGACACGTTATTTGAAAAAAATACAGTATATGGTAAACATACTACTATTGCTACCACTAGTAGTAGAGGCAGTAATAGTAGTCGAAGTTGAAATAGTAATAATTATATTTTGTTACATATATATTTATCATGATAAAAAATCATGAAAAAAGTAATTATAACTAGCCTTTATCAAGTGCTTACCATATTCCAGGCACTATGCTAAACACCTTACACACATCATCTCATGTAACACATTAATGGGTCCATAAGATGATTCAAGCTGTGGATAAGAAATAAATTACAGTCAATTCTGATAATTCAGGTGTGGTTTATGTCCTTGGTGGATTAGAAAGGCAAATTTTTAATGCCCTGCATTTTAACTGGCTTCTGCCCCACTTCCCCATTGGCTGGGGGTGTTCAGGGAAACTGTCTTACATGATATGTAAAAGTGTCAAGCACAGCACCTGCTCAGAGGTGTGGACTTCTCAGGTTGGTAAAAATCTCCAAATAAGTAAATAAATTTAAAAAATTTGGGACCAGCAAATTATTGCCAAGTTTTATTTTCTCAAGGAAAGAAACTTGAGAAACCACTCCGTCTCACCCTAAAAGAAAGGATATTTGAACATCAACAAAGCAGGAGGACCAGCTACAGAATCAACAGCGGGCTTTTAAAACAAACACATTTCGTGCAATGAAAAATCTCATGGCACCGTAGTTATTTTGAAGGAACACAGAAAACTGTCATAGACATAAACTAGCACTGGTTTGAAATTTTAGAAATCAGAGTCCAAACCACAACAAACACACAGCTAGGAGAGCCTCTCCTTTGATAACCAAGCAGAAATTGAGCTCCTCTCCCACCCGAACCCCCCCAGCCCCCAGCCCCAGGGGAGCCATGATTAACACAGTCCCAGACTTTGGGCCTGGCCCAGGCCAGGAGGAGACTCATCTGAATCTGATTAACCAGCCATCAGCAGCAGACAGACAGCCCGGAGCCCAGCGCAGGCCATTCAAATAATGATCATCATAAACAGCCCATTTGCAACTAAAAAGAAATAATTTTAATGAGCTTGAAGCAGATGATATATGCAGCTGAGGCTCAGGCCAGAGCCCGCAGAGAAAGGAGGCTGGGATGGAGCTGTACCGGGACCAGGGTGCCACAGGAAGAAGCTGGGGCCGGGAGGAAGGGGCACTCGTGGCAGGAGCTGCACCCCTCACTGCTCACCCACGGGAAGTGCCCGTTGCCCAGCAAGTGCCCCTCATCCTAACATCAGTATGGGGGCAGTCCTGGGACTTAGACCTCCAGGGCACTCAGAGTCTCAGAATCTTGGATCGTTTGAGCCAGGAGCCTTCAAGAGTGTCCAGTCCATCACTGCTCGAACTTCAACCACACATGTCTGTCTGCAGAAATGTTCCATATCGATATTTCACATATTCACTTAATATTTCTCTTTAAATCAACTTCTTTCTGTCCCTGTTTGACTGAGATATGCAAAGCTTTAAGTTCAATTTTAAGCTCAATGAATTTTTACACCTGTGCAACCACCACCTAGATCAAGATATAGAACATTCCAGCACCCCAGACAGCACCCCCAAGGGTAGCCATTATTATGACCCTAGCACCATAGAAACTACGTACAGAGTTCTGAGCTAGGTGTTGTGTTCTTATGGGGGAAGAACACACATGAGACACAATGTGAGCTTGCAAGCTCCCCCCAGCATGTGCCTGCTCTCTTTTCAGCTCCAAAAAACGCCCCAACTCAGACACAAAAAAAACCCAAACCCATTGCCGTTGAGTCGATTCCAACTCATAGTGACCCTATAGGACAGAGTAGAACTGCCCTATAGGACTTCCAAGGAGTGCCTGCCTGGTGGATTCCAACTGCCGACCTTTTGGTTAACAGCCGAACGCTTAACCACTATGCCACCAGAGTTTCCCCAACTCAGCTATCTCCGTCTAATACCAACTCCGAGAAGACAGCTTCTGAAAAGAATGCAGTAATTGTTCAGGGGCAGGGGCTAAGGAAAAGAGGACCTTGGGCATGAAGCAATTTTTGTGAAGGAAAAAGCCTTCCTCAGCATACCTCTCGCCTATGGCTCTCCACTGCCCTAAAACCAACTCCGCACTTCCACCATCTTCCCTGCTCC